CAGGCATTTCAGTACCTTTTGTAACAATGGAAAGATACGTGACGTCTAAATACGTCACTTGTTAATTAATTAAGTCTGTGTTTATTATTTGAGGACTTTTGCAACAAATCTCCAAAATTTCCAATGCTAAGTTATCAATTAGTTATTGTACCGATACATTCTTTGCACCGATCTTTACTAATCAATATTTGGGCGCACCGAGTGTTAATAAATAACTATGATTTAAAAAACTATCCTAAAAAATCCTAAAAAACTAGTTTTAAGAAAAAAGAAAAACTAGCCTAAAATTAAGAAACTAGTTTTTATTTATTTATTTTTTTTCGAAATATAGAAGTGAAACTCAAGTAAATAAAACTTTTTGCAATTTATTCATTAGAATTATCTTAAACGAAAAAGATTGGATTTCACCTCTGAGAAAAACAAAAAAGAACTCGTGAAGATTGTCCGAAATACTATTTCATTTAAAAAATAAAAATTGTGATTAATCTCATTCTTTTTTAACTTTTCCTGCAAATATAGTTTGGAGTTTCTTCTCCATTCATCGTCCATCCACTCATTCATTCATTCATTCATTCATTCATTCATTCATTCATTATTCATTCATTTATTCATTTATTTATTCATTCATTCATTCACTCATTCATCCATTCATTCATTCATCCAATCCATCATCCTCTCATTCTTCCTCCTTTCTCCTCCACTTTTTCTCGCTCAAATCCAACTATTCAACAATTTTACTCATCAAAGGGAGAAAAAAGTTTCGGAAGCTTAGCTATAGCATTTTCTCCGCTCTTTTTTCAATTATTCGAACAACAAATATTTTTGGCCTTTCTTTGGTTCTTTCCAATCGCAGCAATAATTCAGGCATTCAAACTTATATTTTAGTCACTGTTTCATCTGTTTTTTTTTTCCAAAAAAGAATTTTAATTGACGATTTTAGCCCATTCCTTCGCATCGCCTTTAGTGTGATTGCATCTTTTTTTTTTTTTTTTAATAATTTGATGAGTCGAAACGAAAATTTTCACTAAAAATTCATTCGTTCTATTCTTACTTATTTAAACTTTTGGTGGATGCAAAATCATTTTCTTATTAAATTTTAATCCAAATTAGAACAAAAACAAAGATTTTTTCTTAAATTTATGCACATGCATTGTAATTATTTACTTTATGATTAAATTGGAGTTATATTTATTATAATATAACTGGGAAACTTAAAATAACTTGTAATTAAAAACAGAAAAACTTAGTCTTGGACTCAATTCCAGTCAGTGACTAGGAATTATTACATGATTTAATGGCATGGAACCGACTGGCATACATATATACAAAACCAAATTTGTTTCAATGATTATCGGGCCATAAAATGAAGCGAAAATAAAAAGGGAATTTAGCGAAGCGCTCATAAAATACAAATGACATATGACCTGCAGCATTTAAATATAAACGATGTATTTTGAAATACCTGTAAACAGCTGATGTCACTTATCGATATCGTAAAAAGACAAGCTTATCATGAATGATATTATTATCCACTTTTGATTTACAACTTAGAAAATCCAACCATCACAGCCATTTCGATTTATGATTCATGGAAAAAAAAATGTTTTATACAGTTCTACTTAAACTGTAGATCATCATCAGCCTATAATTATATTCGAATATATTCAAATCATCCACATCATTTGTTTGACCTGTGATATCTATGTAGTAATTTCTTAAACTGTAATACTTGTATGACTGTTGGATGATAATTACTTACCTGTAACTTCTATCCATGACATTCTGCATTAATTTTTATCTGCTAAATTGTCTGCGAAACTTCAAGATTAGTCATTTTTCTTTCTTCAGAAAGCACATCATGACAGTTTTGATAGTGAAGAATAATAAACGGTGTGTACACTTATGGTTATCACATCGTGAAGGATTAAGATGGTGACGAACTGAAGATAGCTGCAAAGAGGTGAGATGAGTAGTAACTGGAAGTAACCAGGTGGGGAAAGTAATTAGTAACTGAGAGTAAGTGAAGGTGGATAAGGTAAGTGGAGTTCACTTCCTGTTCACTTATTTGTTCGTTATGTGTGCAGTGAGAAGTTTTATCTACTACTGCCCTCATGTATATGTACCTAAACACATTCACATTCATACACACAAATAATTTTCTTAAATTTCTCAAGCGCAAATCGTAGAGTTGTGCCATTTGCGCATTATAAGCATATAAGCATACCTTATAAGCATACCTTTGCTTAGGACAATTTTTGGGTCACATTTAAAGGATGCAAAAAACTAACCACTGCAGTGATTGAGTGAAACATTAAAGAAATGAGGTTCTCTCCTCTTTCCTTCACGAAATTTTTTTTCTTTTTTTTCATAAAAAGACAAGTTAGTAATTGAGCCGGTTGTTTTTACTCCATTTCTCTTTCTTGAGAAGTGAGTGGAGCAATTTGGTGATTGTTACTTGTCACTCAAAATGCTACTGCGATGAACAACCATGTCACCCAATCTTCAATTCACGTTTTTTCTCAAATAAACTTCTACTACTCAATCTCTAAACTCATTATTGCACGCAGTTGCATGCAGTTTGTTTGACCTTTTCAGTACTAGAAATATCTCTTATTTCTGCAACATTTGACCAAGAAAATTTGAACAATCCAAAAAGATAATGTTATCTATTGACTAGACTAAAAGATAATTTCAACTAGTCATAGCTTTCTTTTGCATTTTATACAGAGTCATTCGTAATTGGAGTAAATACCGAATGTTAAATTTCCACCAGGTGATATCAATAGATCAGACTAAAACTTTCCAACGAAATGTTTTTCCTTACACTGAAAGGAATGCCCAAAGACATGCAATTTAAATGCATATATTTGTAGTTAATTTACTAAATTATTTTTAAAGACACGTAGTTTAGTGCTGTTCGTTAAGTTTAATGTATTTTTTTTCAATGCTGCCCGTTTTTTTTTTTTAAATACAGCCAAATTATCATCGATTGCTTATAGCCTCAAGGACAAACAATTTATGAAGTCATTGCCAAAATTTATAAATGGACTAAAATCCTTAAACAATAAAGAGTAATTCGTCCGGTTGTTGCTTTAAATGTTATCTGTGCATGTAATTTTAACAAAAAGGAGCGTTATACTATAAAATGTATACTTTTTCTTTGTTTCGAATTTTAATATTTTCGAAAATTTCACATGACTTTCATGTAACGAGCAGGTGCTATAACAAATCCTGGTAAAATTTAGCATTGCTTCCTCTTTCCTCGAAAAAGCAATTCAACTTGTGTCGTTTTGTCCCTTTTTCATTGCACCCATTTAGATTATCACCCAACTATTTAAATATGATCATATGGTATTTCTCGGATTTTTCAACCACTTTCAGATTTTATATTTATCCTTTAAGATGTAAAACATTAGCTTTCATGTTCTTCCCTTTCTCTTTAATATCATCTTCTTCCTTCTCTCTTATCAAGTGTGTAAGCTGAAATATCATAATATTATTGTCATTATAATTTGTCATATTGTACAAATTAAATCGGAAAGCCAGTCGTAGAATAGGTGAAATCCTTCAGCCATTCAGATAATGCATCAATGTGAATTCATGATTACGATACTCACCTTGTCAAACTATTACTTTTTCTCAATTCACGCTATATACCTTCCATCAGTTAAACAAATGTACGTAAATAAGTAATCAAGACTATTCATCATTGTGTAGAAAGGATTTTCAAGAGATCAAAGTACGATAAAACTTTTGGATTCCTTGCAAATATATCTAAATCTATTTGTATCTGTTCACATATGCATCTATGTGTAATTGAAGCATTCAAAATGTGATTCAGGTAGGTAATAATTGTTGATATTTAAAAGTTGTACGCAGGCAGATCTATCCCTCTGCATATCTGTCACCACAATGCTAACTCTACAACACATTGCGAAATGTTCTATTTTTTTTTTTACATAACTTTCCTAAATAAAGGGCCAGTAAATTTTTAATTTGAATTTTACGAATTTTTGTAAAAGCTCTTTAGTTTTTTTGACTTCAATTAAATTTTATGTTAATCATTGAAAGAATTATAATAGATGCAATAACTAACATACGCTCAGTAATTTTACAACAATATTTGTATGTTAGTGAATTCAATCCGTAAAAGTATCTTTTATTCTATCATACTACTGTACATTTTAAACACACGTATGATATTATCAGATCTTTTTTATTTCGTTTACTATGTTGTTAAATTCGTGAATAACGAACAAAAATACACGTTTGATTTCATTACAATGGGCATTTGCCACTCTTCTCATCACTTGCATTTTCTATAGTAAGTAGGCAATATGAAGCATAATATGTTAAATTTCAATCAAATTTGATGGATATATCTCAGAATTTCCACTTATTATCTTTATATATTTATGAATACTTGTCGAATTAGGAATGTAAATTTGACAGCATAATGGTTAATTTCAAACTTTTAATAGATAAAACTAATCATTCTTTGGCTTTACTCGGAATTTAGATATTTATCATCAAATTCTCCTATTCATTCTCAAAATAGATATTATGTTAAGTACTAATTTATTCTTCCAAATTTCTAGGAAATTTAATTTATTACAATCATCAAAATAATATTTCTCTTTCACTACGAACATACTTTCTGAGAAACATTTCCCAGTTATCATTATTTAATTACTTTTTTAAGCCTTAAAAAGTATCAAAAGTTTCTAACAAAAATTATTCCCTTTTACTGAGAGTGGCGGTTGTGGTTGCAGTTGCAGTTGCAGTGGTGCCAGTAAAACACACGCAATATGTTGTAGTGGGAATACAGTACAGTACACCATTCTTTTTCTTCTACTGTCATCATTTCACTTTCATAAACAAACCACCATTTCATGCATCCTTGGCATGTGTTCAAAATGTGAAATCAGTTTAGTTGGGGTTGATGGGTGACAAACGAAAAGCGATTATTTTCTCCGTCTGGCAATTCATGCGGTTTTGCGCTATGCATAGAACGTTGTCTTTTCTAAACTTTTTACAAAAATTTCAAAGAGAAGAATTTTTTTCTTTGAGCTCATGAGAAGACTGGTTTATACTTTTGGTTGGGAAAGAATAAGACGAAGTATATGTCTCTTCCTATCTTTTACACCAATTTATCTATTTCATCCTGCTAAAAGAAAGTAGAGTCTATTGAAGATAAACAACTTGAAATTGGCGGAAAGTAATCTAAGACATCTATATATACCTGGTATAAGTCTAGCTTTCGCCTTAGGAGTAAATGTATTGTTGAAAACCCAGGTATCCTTCATGTCATCGGCAAATGTCCTCGCATTTTGACTTCGTAAAAACGTCTTATGTCTAAATTCAAGAAAAAAAAATCTATTTGCATAGTATCTCACTGTAATCAAATCATTGAAACTTACACCCCCTATTTTTTTTCTAGGCGTACAAAGCCGGCTATTTGTGAATTGGATCTTTCAGCGTTTTGTGAAAATTATGCATAGAGTCTGAATGAACGAAGTTAATTAAATTACTTCACACTTATTCACAAATCATCTCACCTAGTCAAAACAATGAAATATAACAAAAAAAATCTTTTAGTTTTTTAAAATTTGCAAAATCTGAAACAGCTCATCAACAGTTAAATGTTATTTTCTTACAATTTCGGAAATATTTAGCAGTGAATTTTTCAGTCTTAAGTTTCTTCTCACAAATGTGAGAAAGAAGCACAGTATGCACATTGTCAACTGCTATTTCCTTTATTCTATTCAATGAAAGTGGAATAAATCAAAATTATTGCAAATTACTAGAAGTCTCTCTGTGGTACAATTGTTGACGCAGTCAACGGTAATGGTAGTTTTAGTTTATTCTTGTATATGTGTGGCAATATAAGAATGAACGATGATCTTTTTTTTCCCTTTATTAACTCGTCTTTTTTTTTTTTTTGAATTAAATTTATGATGTTTTAAAAATTCAAGCTTTCTATTGATTTCTTTTATATAAAATTTACGTTTAACATGAAACATCCCTTGATTAGCGAGGTAAGCCCGTGAATGATTTTTCAACTTTTTGTCTGAAAAATTTTTCCAATTCAGAGTATGTCGAATTTATGACATTTTAAAGAAAAAAATCCCATTTTTTCATAAAATCTTTTGCTTATTTTAATGTAAGGAATTACTCTGCTACAAAATTTGAATGAGTGAATCGCAGATGATAATTTTAGCATCAGTTAAATGAATTTTAATTTATTTAATCGTAATAAAACTTGCCGTAATTTCAAAGTAAGACTTACCCCAATTTTTTGATTTTTCTTTTTTATTTGAATATTATATACTCCAAAAAAAAAATACAATTTATCAAAAATATGTTTTTGATAATATTGAATGTGTGAAATGCCAACTACAAATATGTAAAGCCATTTATTAAAAATTTAATCTGTCAACTTCATGATCCATGTTTTTGAAATTAGTTGTATTAAAAAAAATCAATTAAATTAAACTAAGCAGATCGTCAATTTCGGAAGAAATTTCCAATTTTGACATCCCACTTTTTAGTTTGGTTTGATTGATTTTTTAAATTCTGCAGTTACTAGTAGATGATCAAAGAAATATTAGACTTATAATTTGTGGATCACTTAAATGATGTCGTGGTTTCCTTTCTTAGGAATGAATCAGGGCAACTATTGGTACTTCAGCATCGAAAAACTAATTACACTTGATTGTACTGAACGTACTGTTGGCGTACTACATTACTTATTGCTGTTGATATGATTCTATCATCAAAGGTAACCTTAAAAATTTGTTTGGCAACTAAAATCTAAGCAATACTATTTGAGATTTGTTTAACTAGGCATTTTAAGCAAAAATTTTGGTACTTCTCAATTTTTTCTGCTGAAAAAACTGAATGAATCCCAAAAATTTAGGATAACAATATGACATTGAGGAGAGAATCGAAATATCATTAAAATGGTTTGCTCTCTTCTCTTGCTTTTTACATTTAATTGGCACAAATCGAAAGCTTTTTCATTTAGAATTCCATTCAAACCCAATAAAAAACGATTTTTGATGCCGATGATGGTAATAGCACCTGAAGAATCATCAACCAATATAAATGTACTATCAATCTATCTATCCATAACCATAACCCGTTCTTTCCATTCGATGAGTCTCCGATTCATGCCATCCATAAGCTCTTCTGCTACTTTATTTTCTCTCATATTCGGTATCCACACCTTTTTTATTTCTTTATTTTTTCATTCACCAGATCTGTCCTTCCTTGTACACCATTGCACCAAATGTAATGCAACTGCATACAAACACAATTATTGCAAACTTTTGATCCATTCATCATTGGTATACATGAATACATTTTTTTTCTCCACAAATGCAAAGATATTCGTTTTTTTCTTTTTTTGTAAGCTTTAGCAGGAAATAAAGTGCTTTCAATCCTTTACATATATTACCATATTTTGCTGCAAAATAATTTCTCATCGTTTTTTTCGTTTGAAATAGCTTAAGGTAATAAAATCTCAAATATACATGAATATTACTTAGAGAGGAAGTGAGCAATATGCTTGGTTAAAACTAATAAGATGTGTTAAATTTACTTCTATCACTACGATCACCATGACGACTGCGTTTTCATTCACTGTATAGAATATTTTCCGAAATTGCAAAGTTGAAATGCGTTTACCGGAATTTTCTCTAACAAGACTCTTTCAAAACGAATGCATTTTGTCAACCAGTTGGTTAACCTATATTAGAAAAGTGATTATTCTGAATCTGATAGTGACAAGAAGTTATTTTGAATTCTTTGTCCAGTATATATCCTTCTTTCTTCATAATTACACATCTTATTACTCATCACTCTTGTTAGTCAAAATGGTAAAGTAGAACGGCAGAAAGCTGATTGGCATATGATCTTCTTGTCATTTATCCTGAAATTATTTTTTTCCCACCCTCTTTCGACTACCTCATCTCTAAAGTTCAGTTAGAACTTATTGAAAATAGCTTTGAAAAAAACATCGTTTTTAAAATTTTAGAAAAAAGATCTCATGAGATGCATATTATTATTGCTTTTCTAGTTGTCCAATTGATATTTTAAAGTATCGCTATTAATGGAATTCAAATTAAGTTGCAAAATATGTCAGTGGAAAATTGCACACTTCTGACATAAAATGAATAGACTATAAATACATTAATTTAAAATCGTCATTGTCATTTGAAGATACTGTCAGAACAGGATTCACCTTTTTGTTATTTACAAATTGGTTTTACCTTTCATTAAAATTTCATAAGCTATTTTCTTGAAAGCTATTCTTCCTTGAATAACTATAATAAAATTACGGCCTGTTTTTTGATTTCCATGGAAGAATTTTTCAAAGCTTAGATCGAGAAATAAAAAAAGGATTATTTTTGGTGATTCTGACTGAACTTGAAAGATGAGATGGCAGGAAAAGAAAAAAATAATTTCATGCTTAAGAGAAAACAAATTTCCTCAAATATGAGTTAACCTTCCAACAGTCCACAGGTTTTCTTCATCAAACATAAAAATCTGATACAACTAACACTTAAAATAATCTGAAAACATTTACAACCATCGTTAACAAATAAATCAAATCAAGCAATCCACCATTGATGATGAATGTCGGATTTCCCGTTAACATTGGAAACGTTACTGTTTGTAAAGATATATATGTCTGTTAATATAGTTACAAGCCTATAGGCTTTATGCAGTTAGCATCTGTGGAAGAAGAAAAGTTTGCTAAGAGCGTACTTCTTGAAAAGTATATCATAGAAATGTCAACAGTATCGCGCTACTCTTTTGCTCCATAGATTGCTAACAATACATTGTCAGCTCTGTATTATTACCTATTGTTTACAATGTTTTATTTATTTTTGTTTCAGTCTATCTGACGAAGAACCTGTAATGGCAACAAGATAGTAGCAGAAGTATTTTTGTTTGGAAGTTGACCATGCTACAGTAAGTTTTATGAAAAAATTCGATGAGTATCCTTTATTCTTTCTGCATATTATACTTTTTTTGGAATGTTTATTTAAAGGGCGTTTATCAAATTCATCCAAAACGCGATCGTTAAATTTATTTTCAGATTTTACATAAAATTAGAATCTATATGATTACAATGTTGAGTTCTCTACTTAATTGTGTCACTGAAATCTCTAGATATTACTCTTTAGTCGCTGTAAAATGGATAAGGAAATGTATGAAAAAGCTATATTAGTTCATATTAGGCCAATCGGACTATTTGTATTTCAAAAAAAAAAACTGAAAAAAGGTTTCGTAGATTGGAAAATCAGATCAAATACGTCTATTGGAAGGATGATTAAGAACAGTCGGATAAAATTACTTGAAATCTTACTAAATGCAACCAAACAATTTCATATTCAGTTAATTTAGACTTCAGACAGAGTACACAGGTTTAGTTTTAGTTCACGTAATAGAAATAAAAAGAGTTAGTAAATATTTCGTGGGTAGGGATTGATTATGGATAGATAGAATGATGGGAGAGAGTAAAAAGGAGAAAGATAAACTTTTCATCTGAGAAAAAGTGGAAAAATATTTGATTACAACGGAATGTTTTTCATAACTATTAACAAAGTTTGAGAGAAACAATCAAACTTTTTTGAATTTAAACAAAATATTGGCGCTGTTCCACACTTGCCATTTCAGTGGTATATTGTACATTGATACGATTTCAGTAGAAAAAAATGGCTAAACAGCAACTTTTCTTTAAAACTATTTAGCTGAATCATCATGTTCAGAAGGTGAGAAGAGAGAGGAAGAGAAGGTTCAAAACAGAGAGGGATTGCTTATTTTTTTTTCTCTTCAGTTGGCATGCAAAGAAGCGGAAAAGTATCGAGTAACATTTTCCCATTCCTTTTCAACTTCCATACAATTTGTTCACCATAAAGCTCTTTCCCTCAATACACTAAAAACAACAGCGCCTTTCAAGCACTGAATTGTATTCCATCAGAAATTGTTCACGAAATTTCAAACATTATATTTGGAAAGTAGCATTTAAAATAATTCTGTATGTTTAAAATCTCTCTCTTCCTCCCTCTCTCTCTCTCTATCTCTCTCTTTCTCACTGCTCTCTTTTCTCCCTCTCTCTGTTTCTCATGAGATGATGTTTGCCGTGCAGAATATATTCTAAATTATAAAAAGAGATGATGCTTAATTGCTTTCAATATCAAACTTCATCGATAAGAACGAGAGAGGAATAGGTTGGATCATAGATATTTCCATTTAAATATGATTAAATTCATTTGTCTTCTTTTTCTTCGATTTGAATATCAATTTTGATTGTAAAGTTCATAGGTTAACTTTAATACTTATACCATTTCTGTTCAATTCTTCACTCTGTCTATTGCAGAGGGAACAAAACTTCCATCTTCCAAATAGTATTAAAGTGCATGTATATGTTTGCATACTTTTATATGATGCTAGCTATTCAAAATACAGATTTACGGTCCTTCAAATCACCTCCAGTGCACATGAAAATAAAAGTTGGACCGCCGTGATGTATCAGTCAATTGGCTCTAATCAATCGTAGCAATCTCGATCAGTTGTGAAATGATCCGTTATGAGCAGATAATATTTCTTATATCTGTGAAGTCTGTCGGTAGAGTTTCAAGTTCTTGAATGGCTAAAAAGACTGATCATAATTTAAAGGTATATTTGTAGTAAGATAACTATCTCGTCATTTGTTATTCGAATGAGATGGATTGAGTGGTTGGTAATACGGTTAATTAACAATTAAAATGCATCAATGATTTTCCATTAGGCAGACAAATGGACATAATGTGAATTGATATTTTATCTGATCAACGAGGAAATATTTTGTTCAAAAATAAATAGCTATCATCTTCAAAGTAATGCAGCATTTAGATGGCAACAAAAATTTTCGTTCGTCAACTGATTAGCAACATGGAAAGATGTCAACAATAATGCATAGGCTTGGACCAAAATGTTAGCATGAAGGATTAGCTTCAATATTATAGCTTGGCTCTTTAATTTGTGTTAAGTTGAAGGACGACGGGAATTATGCCTAAATAGAATTGCCCTCAGGCAGTGTTCCTATATATATCAAAACAAAATAGTCTAAAAAATCACTTGGGTATGATTCAAGTGTCGCCTAAGAAAATGGACCGCTATTAGTTTAGGATGTACTTAAACTTTAGTGATGGTAAATCTAGAGATTCCCTTCCTTCATTTATTAATTAAGGATTAACATCATCTCTAAAGTAATGCCGCTATTTAGATAGCAACAACAAAAATTGTTCCAGAAGGTGGCATGACCGCTAGTAACCATAATTTCGGTAAATTAATTACTGTCAAGAGTTTTTTGGTTCAACTATTTCCAAATTTGATTTCTTCAGCACTTTCCTTATGAACTCATCGTAACTGCACCAAAATAAGATTCAATTTGAATGAAATCCTTGATAATACACATCCGGCATGAATTGTTCAAACATTCTTAAACCTTTTTCCAGATTATTATTTTAATTTAATTCCGTACGTTACCTCTCTCTCTCTCTCCTTCCTCTCTCTCTCTCTCTCTCTCTCTCTCTCTCTCTCTCTCTCTCTCTCTCTCTCTCTCTCTCT